CTCTCACTATGAGTAAATATTTAATAATTTGGAGAAGTCATTTTCAGACACACTGTTAACATATGAGACCTTATTCTTCATAGCTAAACAAGCTATTGCTGAACTTACAGGTCTGGCTCTACCTAGAGGACCCTGGATGTTGCTTTTCTGTAGCATAGAGTAATTCAAATAATGCGACAATACGAGAAGATAAAAATAAGATGCCTGGAAAGGATTTGTATCAGCACAGCCAGCCATGTAAATGTATATATAGTTACTTACCACTCGATACATAGTCCCCCACAAAGCAGATGTTTTAAACCACAAGACCTGTTCCGTTTGTCATTGAGACAGTTGGTAATTGCCAATTTCCTTCCCTCTTTTTCTTGTACGGACACTACCAACCAATGCGTCAATCGCATGTGGCTGGAACTAAGACCAAGCAAAGAATATGGGAAACACATTAATGTGAGGCTCAGCAGTGCCCAATTCAGACCCACGCAGTTATCACGTACGCCATCTCAGTAACATGCTTCGTCATGCTCAGTGTGTGTAGGTACCTGAACTGTGTGTCAGTTCCAATAAATCAATTTGGTAATGGAGCATGGACTGCTTTACACAACAGTTTGTCTCCACTTGAAATCTCTTGCATGCAACCTTGAGTTATTTCAGGTTGAAGAGATTCACATGGACAGCTCTTGCTGAGAACGATATACTGCTTTAACACACGGACAGGCGGCCTTGAAGCAGTTTTGCATTGTTCACTGGTGGACCTGAGCCTCTTCAGGGGTATGGAGCATCTGCATCATCCTGTCCCTGGCTTTCTCTAGCACTGCAACAGGTGTCTGCTTCCAAACCGCTGTCAGCCACTCTGCCCACCTCTCTATTCCACTCCTCTGCACTCCTACTGCCCTTGTGGGAACCACAGTAAGTGCCTATCCATGGTAGCAGATATTTCCTCACCTTCTGGATCTCCCAGCCTGCCTTACCATCTCTCAAATGCACACTCTACATCACTCTCTGCTACCCAGGTACAACTAGATAGTCCCTCTGTAATGCTGGATGACCATCAAAATGCACCGTAAGTCAGGAAAGCAGAGGGCAAGCTCATATCTCTGGAGTAATGATAATGACCTCAGTGTCCATGGACAAGAAAAGTTATCTTTGTTACAGAATCAATCTCAGTTTCCCAAAACAAACAAGAAAACAAATCAAAAAACAAACCAAAATAGAAAGAGTACACACACCTCCCTCCTGGCCATTAGATCAGTCTGCACAAACGTTGGCCAACCTCAGCAGTACTCAAGCAGAAGCATCTTCTGCTTACAGACTTGGAAGCAAAGACAGGTCTATCCCTAGCAAAGTCCAGACCCAATGGTTCAGACCAATTAAACTCTAGCACATTGCTCAGCCCTGCTCCTTTGCCCCGGGGAGCCACATTGTGCAGATAAGTGGCTTTAACACCCTTCCAGTACAACAGCCCCTAATGACTGCTCAGACCATGCTCTGCATCCTACTATGCCAAAAAGAAAATGCCATAATAACTGTGCTCCTAAAGCACCTTCATTTCAACACATTGAAGCAAATTTGAAGCATTAAAGCAGTTTCTGCAAGACCACAGCAGTCATACATGGCAACCTTACCTCCTCTGAAAATACAGGCAAAAAATGCTATCCTGTTGAAGATAATACAGGAGGGGAAGCAGACCTCTGGTTTCCAAATTTTGAGTGTTTATGTTATTGGGGTTTTATTTTAATATTCAGACTTAAACTTATTACAAAAAAAAAAAAAAAAACAACAACAAAAAAAAAACCAAACAGAAAAAAAAACACCACATCACCTTTTGTAGCTGCAGCTCTGGCTTTGCTGTCTAGGTAATCCATTTAATTGAATTGGATCTTGGGTGACACCTTTAAGAAAAATCTTATTCCCATTTCATTGAAGGAAAAATCATTCTATTTATGGAAAGATTACGTTGTAGAGCCAAAAGAAATACACAGCTTCAGCATAAAAGCCTTTCCCAAATAAAGGGAAGCTAAATATTGAATAGAAGATTAATTTTTGTTCTGTGTTTTGATGCTCATAAAATTGTTTTACAGGTATTTCTTAGCAGTGTTTTGAATTACAGATCTACTCGTGCAAAACCAGGATCTGTTAATAGTGGGTGGCCTCTCCTTTGCTTTTATGGAGTGAAAATTTTATTCTTTTACAACTACTGGTGATTTTTATCAAAGTCATCATGGGACATGCGCCTCAAAGGGTGAAAGGACAGAAGCATTAAAACAATTCCCTAGGCAACCTCTCAGGCTGAGCCAGTGTTGTTAAAATAATGAGTTGTGCACCACTCAATCCAAAACCACCAGCTGATCCCCATTTCTAGAGACAATAGGTAGAAAAAAAAATAGAAAATGTCTGCCACTGGTCAGATAATTTTTCACAAATCCTGTGTCTTCAACTGATAAAACTTAATATTTTTTTCTCTGACAGCCTACCAGTATTTTTAGACCTAGAAAAAAAGCATCCTTCAGAGTTTTCTTTTTTAAAGTAAGTAGCATTCTCAAACTTATTCCAGACAGCTAAAATTTAAAGAAACAGGAAGATTTCTAACAGTGTCCATGTACTCCACCTCCCAGAAAGTCTGCTTTCTTTTTTTTTTTATATACCACATTATTGCTAAATTTGGTGTCTTGTTGCCGGGTTGAATCCTGTCTGTCCTTTCAGTAATGGTGTGTGCAATTATTCTTTCACATTTCAGAACAAGACACCCAAAGTTTTCTTTCTCTTCGTCTAAGTTTTGTAACATACAAAGGCCAGAAGTCTCAAGGACAAGTAAATCAGGAGAGTCCACTGAAAACAGGCAAACATTGTGCTTTATAACTCACCAGTTAAAGCACACTTTAAACAAAGAGCCTATGACTGGTTCATCAGATAAGGCTTATATCTCTCTCCCTGGAATTTAATAACACTTCTTTTAAGAACACTTTTTGGTCAGCTAGAGTTGAAGTTCCCAGAATTATATAGTTACCTAAATACAACAAAACCTGCACGGAGTATAATTCCCAGCTCATCGTATGTTCTGTTTTGTTGCTTTGGCTCTTTTTCCCCCTTGAAAAATGGTTTGCGGAGTAGATCCAAAAATTGCCTTGTTTGAGGGCTGATGAAGTACTTAATACCCCAAGAGGCTTGACTCACACCTATTTCAGCACCTTACAGGGTTAAGACCAAGTGCTCTCCCTCAGTGTTACACCCTGCAACACTCTGGGTAGCGTCCTCGACTCTTCTCAGCGGGGTCACGACTTTACGTGAAGCCTCATTTAACACGGTCTGGCCTAAATTTAAGGCATACCAAACGGCTGCAACTTTCTCTGGTTTTAGCTCACCGCCGAAGTGGGTCCTGCAACCGTTTTGACGCAGCCTTCAAGCAGAACCTCCCACAGCACATGGCAAAAGCAGATTTCACCCCCAAGAAAGTGGGCAAAGAGCCCAAAGACGGCTGGAATTTTATCCGGCATGATTCATTATTTAACCAACAGAACAAATACGGCCAACACAACCGCTGGTGTAGCCCCTTATGACTCCGGCCGGCTCCAGGTGCACCTCGGAGTACCAAGGAACAGCCCATGGACCAGCTGCGCTGCGGGCGCTGCCGCTTCCCTCGGGGACCCCACGATGCTCTCGAGGATGCCCCGGACCGGCTGCGGCTCCAGAGAAAGGAAAAGTCGCGGTTTCTTGAAAAAGCGACTATAACGGCGTCCCGTGAGGTACAGCGTTTCTCACCGACCACAGCAATATTTTATCGGGGGGGGGGAGTTACAGTGTGTAAACCCTTACCTTAACTTCCGGCGACAAACACAGCAAAAAACCGGCATTAATTCCGAAGCAAGACCCCAGCGGAGGTTCCCCCAGAGGCGGGCAGTCCGCGCACGCCCCAGGACAGCTCCGTCCCACCACCGCTCCACAGCCACCCGCCTGCCCGCGCCTCAATGGCCAGGGGCTCGAAGGCTCCTGCCGGGGGCTCAGCCCGTCCGCACTCACCACGGGACGCCAGATTCAGATCAATCTCGTACCGCCGCAACCTGCTCTCCCGTTCAAACGCACGGCTCTGCCGCCCGGCCCAGCCGGGCCCGCCCTCCAGCGCGGAGCTCAGGGGAAACCCGGAGCAGCGCCGGACGCGGAATGGAGCGTGCTCCCGTCCGCTAGCGGGGCGGCGGTAGCGGCTGAGGCCAGCGATCCAGACCCGTTGTTGCTGCGGCCCCGCGCCCGCTCCCATTCAACCTGCTCCATTGTGTGCGCTCCGAGCCGGTGGGGCGCCGTGCTGCCCCTCAGCGCTACCCCGCTTCACGGGCTGCCGCAGGACGAGGGGCCCTTCCCCTAGCCATGTCCCGGTAGAGTCTCCCCTTGGCGGAATCACAGAGCTCCCGAGCTGGGGGGGGGAGCAGCCGCGGTGAGGCGGACCCGGAGGCTCACCTTCGTCCCGCCGGCGGCGGGTGTCATGGAGACGCGCGGGACGGCCCCGTCACCTCAGGGCATCGCGCAACAGGGGCCACGGCCACAACGCCGCACCTGCCGCGGGGCGGGGCGGAACGAGGCGAGCCCTGGGAGAGACCCGTCGCCTCCAGGAGTTGGAAAGAGCCTTTAGGGGCCTTCCTCCGAGCAGTGCGGGATCCCCCCCCGGGGAGGGGAATACCGTGTTGGCGGACTTCTGAAGTACTTTTTTGCTTTTAAAAATCTATGGTGACGTTCAGGGGCTGTTCACCTGCCCTAACAGAGTGTAACTGCAGAGAAACGGTAGCCGGTACCTGTACAGCCCCAGTGTCCCTGACATCCAGCGTACCGACGGTCAACGGATGTCCTGGTGTGAAGGAATGCAGCTCTGTGCTGGAGGAGGTTAAGTATCGCGGTGGCCGTGAGGCCTCGTTCCATGCCCACAGCCAAGCTCCATTGTTTGTATGAAAACAGCGCTGTGTCCACTGTTTTTGGGTGGGCTCCGGGGCTGGTGGTGTTTATGGCAACCATTTGCCATGCATGCTGCACCAGCAATAAAAAGCCTGTGCAACACTGAAGATATTTTTCTTAGTGGGCCATTTGGAGGCCTTTCACTCCCTATGATCTTTTGAAGATGTTGTATTGCTCATGGCATATTCAGAGTTGCAGGGGAAAAGGCACAAGAGCACAGAGTTTAATTCTTGTCCTTGCTGCTAATCACACAAGAACCGCATCCTCTGCTTGGAAATATTTTGATGTGCATTGCTGCTGTAGCTAAAGGAACAGGACTGTGCTCCTCAGGGGGAGCATGGGGTGGTTTTATATAATACAGAAACGTGCTGCTTCTCCCCCACCTCCCAGTCAGCTCCTCGACTCTGCAGAGCTGTTTGTTTCTACTCCTGTTACTGCTTTTTCAATAGACAGGCCTCCCACTGAGACAAGATCTGCAACCTCTCAAGCCTTGCATAGATGGAAAGCACAGCTTTGAACCCAATTGTGCTTATTTTGAGGGGGTAGGGTGTGTTGTTGTTTGTTTTTATTAAACAGATAAGCCCTGGATGATAAGGAAAACAGCATTAACAAACAATTACAGGACTTGACTCTCCCAAAATCATTTGTCCCTGCAATCACAAATCCACTTGGTTACTCTCTGTGAGATTAGTGTTGTCCACCACAGTGCTGATCCTGTATACAAAACCAGCTCCCTGTATTTGTATTCTGACCAAGAACTGTAGTAAGAGCACATCACCAAAACCTCTTGCCTTGTGCAACAAACATGAAAAGATATTAGAGGGCTGAATCCAAATATTTGGATATCCCTCTCCATAGTTCCTTCTAAAATTATTTGTTAGATTATTTTACTACCAATAGAGGGAACTTTAAAATTTATTTCAGACCAAGGGGGGGGGGGGGCCTTCCTTGACAGAAGTGATGAAGCAGCCCTATTGCCACCTTTTAAAAACCCTTCATAAGCCACAACCTACCAGAAATGATACAGCAATTCACTGTAATTTAGACAAATCCATTCTGAATTCATCAAGGGTAAAAATGGATAAGAGTCAGGACTGTGAGGGAACAAACTTGCTTCACATTCACTCACAATTCACCTCTGCTTGCATGCAGCTTCCTGAGATTTTGCTCTCAGCTTTACAGTGGATTTTTGTGACCAATCCTTTTATGACTCATTAACAAAAGAGAGTGGAAAGTGCACGTAGAATTATGTTTATTACAGAAAAAAAATACGTAACAGTATAATTATACCCACTTTGGAAAAGCACTTTCTACATACTAGGTGCAGGAACTGGAACACCTATAATTCCCTGTGGGAAGTGGATTAATGCTTAGATTGAATTTGTAGTTTGGGGTTCAAAGTCACCTTTGAGTTTTGCTTCAGAGGATGCTACAGCTGATCCTGAATCCCTGTGGCATTCTCCAAAGAAAGGAGTTATGTCTAAACCACAGCAGTGGTTGGCCCAGCCCTTCACTGTATAATGCATAAAACCAGGTGCCTCACTTTTAGCAGGCACAGATACCCAATTTCCAGCTCCTGTCGAGGCCTGCTTCAGGCCTGTTTCCCCTCTCCCCCACACTGGTTTCTTACACAGAGGTCTGTGCTGCAGGTTCTTCACTGCCAGCTGCTCACTGTGCTTTGCAAACACTAATCTCAGCCCTCAGAGGATCCAGGAACTAAAGCAGTAAAGAAGCACTAACATCTATTCTCACTTTAGGATCTCAGGATTCACAATTTTGCCCTAAGCAGAAAAAATGATGACATAACAACTACTTGTCAGACAAGCAATGCTCAGCTATCAAAATTTTTTATACCACGCTCTTCTCCCTAGTATTTCATTGCAAGGAATCACACAGAAAGAAAGAAAATCTGTAAAACACTTCACTTTAAATAAATATTGGGACTGTGGGAGGTTAAACAAAGGTCAAGTGCTTGATATATAAAACATGTAACAATGAACATAAGAATTCAGTTTTTATTCTGAGAATATTTACAAAAAAGTAAGACACTCTCATATACTTAAGATGCATTTCCATATAAAATAAGAATTTAATAAGTTCTTAGCACAGTATGGTCCATCTTTTCAAACTTCATGTTAAACTTACATTTGCATCTGATTTTAGATATTTATGGAACCATCAGAAAAAACAGCATATGTTTTTCCTCTTCAAGTGAATGTTGCCTTCTCTTTGGACTACTGGCATATTAATTTATATTCCTTGATATACCAAGTGATTTTTTTTTTCCCAAGACATTTTAGTTGTTATGACCTTATCAGATGTTTAGGATCAGCTGTAACAAATTACCTTTAATATCAGGAACAGTGCAACCCATTATTCAAGATGAAAGACTTTTTAAAACACAAATGATACACAAAAGTAGTGTAAGAACAGAATTCAGACAAAATGCTTGTGTGTAAATACCACAAGCTTTGTAAAGATATGAAAAGTTTTCTAACCAGTGATGGCTATGTAGCAATGACATGTAGCAGAGAAGCATTTAAGGCAATAAACTGTGAACAAACACTCTGCACCTCTTAAAAACTGGGTTGTTGATTGCTTTCACCAGTTGATTAAGAGAGATGTACAGGTTATTTAGCAGGTGGAAAACTGAGCAACTAATTTAGGACATTGCTGTAGCAAAGTTCAGCTTCAGAACTGCATACTACTACTAAATTTCAATCCCACATGGGTTATAAAATGGCATTAAGTGAGTTTTCTGTTCAAGACAGGGACCCTCAAAATTATGGCACTGGTTTTTACCATAAACTTACACTATACATCAAGCACATAACACAGGTAGCCCCTTTTTATTTAAACAGAGCGTCTTAACCAGCTCACAAATTGTTTCAATGTTTTTACAAATTTATTCTTACTTATACGATCTCTAATTCTTTCAGAGTAACTTTCTTCTTGCCATATTCCTTTATTTTTCTTCAAGGCCTTTAACTCTGCTCGAAGGAGTCTTTTGTGAAGTTTCCAGTACAGGCGGGAATCGTGATGCAGTCCTTTAATATGCGCCGTTCTGCCAAGCCCCTGTCTCAAGATCTCTTCATTTAAACACATGCTGAGAAATCGACCCTATAAAAAGGCACAATAAACATACTCCACCTTTAAAGTTGTTTTATTTATGTTTTTGTGTCAGCTCCCTCTGAGATACAAGCTTTAGTTATGGCTAAATCTATACTCCGGCAGAAACAGCTAAAAGGATTCTGGCTGAATTAAAAATGAATACTGATGATAAATATAGCATTTTACAGCTAAATATATAAATACTAAGACATTTGTGAGAGAACATTTGACAGACTAAACATTAGGCTAATCAGAACTACACAGTATAGCCTATTGACAGAAATAGGCTATATTGAGAGAAATACTCTGTCATCAAAAACACCGGTCTTGAAATCAGAGCTGCAAATATGACATTTAAAATTCATATAAAGATACATAAATTATAAATAATCATCTTCCTTGAAGGTACTGAGATGACTGGATTGTATAACTGCAGTCAAACTCAAAACTGCAGATAAAAGTAAATTTTTTGTTGCTATATTTACCTTATTTACTAAAACTAGGCACTCTAGTGCCAAGTCCTCTCTTCCCAGAAGTTGGAACCATATCATCTGCTGGGGTTTTAACTCTTGCTGTAACCAGACCATGCCACTTGGTGCCAACTCCACTCCAGCAAGTCTTACCAGTAGAAGACCTTTTGATTGCCCTGATTAGAGAAAGAACTTTGTTACTGAACCCAGCAAAGGAATTTCTGGCTTTGCACAGACCCTCAGCTGCTAGTAATGGATTTATTCCCATGGACTTAAAAGGCAAAAATAACCCATTGTGGTTCCCCAAAGCACTACTTACTTGTAAATAAGAATTTAGTCTCATCTCTCCTTTAGTAAAAAAAAGTTATTCAAGATTGTGTAAGTGGTTTAATCTAGCTTCTTTTATTTTAAGCTATTTTATTTTTCACACAGAAAGAACTGCTTTCATTATCAGTCATTCTCATTTTATCTCAAGGGAGGGGAATAACAGGCAAGAAGCATTAGCACCCCCAAGTATTTGCAAAGCAAGTGTGTGTGCCTCACAGGCTTCAGGGACAGCTTTCACCAGGTCACAGCAAAACTGTCCCCAAGAGTGGGTTTGTACAGGCAGGTGGCCAATCTTCGGGGTAAAAGAAAGCACCACCCCAACAGTCTTTTTGCCAGGAATAAGGTGAGCTATGCAAGCAGCTGAACTGCTGGTGTGCTAGCTTTTTAGAAAAATATCACAATAATGATGCTGGTTAATACCTATATTATATTGGTGAGCTCTTTTTACAGATCTCCTTGCAGTCTTTTATTCCCCCACTTTCTACCTGTGAAGTACAGAAAGACCAAAAGGCACAGGCAGGACTGTACCTTGCTCACCAGCCTGCCGCAGCCTGTTCTCTGTGCAGCCATAGTAACAGCCCCAACATTCCATTCCCACCCTTGTCCTTTGTGTTCTTCTACTCACATTTTCTCTGTACTGCTGTAATAAAAGGAATGCTAATGGGAATGTGTTCAACTTCCAGGCCTTTCTCCGTTATGCAATGTAATTTCCCCCTCAATTTCACATTCTTTTCTACAAACTCCACAGGTATATCCAAAGCCCTTGAAAACTTTGTTGTCTATTGATGGGAAGAAGAAGACAAAGTTTTAAGGGAAAAAAACCTGAACAAACAAACCAAAATCATAAAGCAGTAAATCATACTAAATCCAACTTCTTCCTAAAATTGTTTGGCAAACTGCGATTATTAGACAGAAGAGACAAATATATATGTGTGTGTGCATATACATATATTTAATAGTAATCAGCTGCAGAAGCCATTATGTGCCAGCCATTCCAGACACTTGTAATGTTCCATGTTGTACAGGCCTTGCAACATCAGGGGTGGGCATGAGAGCAAGGTTTATAGAAAGCACAGAAAGCGACATTTTTGAGCAATGTGAACTGAAGTTCTCTTGATTCACTATGAAAAGGGTGTTTTGAAAGTGGGTTGAACAGTGCTAGGATAAAAGCAAAGGAAAGCCAAGATGTGCTTAAAGATGCTAGCAGAGAACAGACACACTGAAAACCAAGGCGGCGCAGGTAGAACCAACACAGCCTTTGGTAAGGGACTAAAAGAGGAGACGGAGAAGCAGATGCACACCTTTGAAGAGATCACAATAAGACTAAATTTGCTACTAGGAGGGTCCAAAGGGGTAAGTTATGTGATCACACAGGGAAAGTGCTTAGCAGCAGCAAAGCCTTGCTTGGCAGCACAGGAATGAAGCAGCCACAGGTTTAGTGGGTAGAGGAAGAAGGACGGGAGCTGGGAACAGCACAGCGCCCAGGATTTAAGACCCTAAAATCTAGAAGTGCCACTAGCCTTCTGCAGAGCACTTGACATACATCTGTACAGCTGTGAAAAATACCGACCTGCTGATGTACCCCGGCTGGAACACACCAGCCCTCTGGAAGTAAAAATACCTGACCCACCACGACTAAACTCAAAGATCTTTCTCCTGAATGTTATTTATTCAGACAACCTTCCCATCTGGGGTCCAAGCCTGTAAGCCCGAAAACAGACCGGGGCGTCCCGGCCCCGGCTGCGCGGCTGCTGCTCGGGCAGAGACACGAGTAACACCGCACCTCCACCGTCCCTCCGGCGCGGGCCCTCTGAAGTCCCCGGGCCGCGCTGGGCTCCCCGCCGTCCGCCGGCACCCGGCAGAGCCCCGCGGAGCCGCGGCCTCCCCGCACACACTCACCATACGCACGCTCCGGGCCAGCACCAGCACCCCGGCCACCGCCATCCCAGTGCTCAGGCTCTGCAGGCAGAGGACAGCAGGGCTCAGCGGCGCGGCCCTGGCTCCTGCCCCCGCCCCTCACCCGCGCCCTGCCGGTCCCGTCACCCTCAGCAGGCCGAGGTGCGCGTCTGCCCACTCGGACAGGCGGGCTAGGGCCTCCGCCGCGCCGCTCCTCCGTTCCGCCATGGCCGCACGGTGCCTCCCCGCAGCGCCGCCCGCTGGCCGGGCTGCCGGGGCGGGGACAGGAGCTGCCGCGGGGCCGGGCCCAGCGGCGGGCTGTATGCATTGGGCCTCCAAACACAAACCCGTTAGGGCGGCTCCAGAGTCCCGGCCTGGTGGCACTTAACGTGGCTGTGACGGCCATAACCCTCCAAACTGCACTACACCTCCCCTGAGCCCTGAGGTGTCGTACCGCCACCGGACAGGTCCCCTACTGCACCTCGGGGCACCATCTGAAGAGAAAACCCACCTGTGGAACACTTCCACACTCATCTCTGTTGTTTATTCTTTACCGTAATTCATAACAACTACTTGTCACTCCTTTCCAAATGGCTCTAGCCACCTGTTTCCTCAGCTGCATCAAACGCCCACCTCTGCAATGCATCTCTGTGGGCTTCAAAGAAATACATACATTGTAAGAATCACAGAAGCAGGGAATGTTTTGGGTTGGGCCTTAAGGATCATCTAGTTCCAACCACCCTGCCACAGACAGGTGCACCTAACACTAGAGCAAGTTGCTTAGAGCCCCGTCTGCCCCGGCCTTGAACACTTCCAGGGATGGGGCAGCCACAGCTGCTCTGGGCAACTTCTGCCAGTGCCTTGCCATGCTCACAGTAATGATTTTTTTCCTAATATCTGATCTAAATCTAATAATAATAATATTATAATTTAATTATAGTAACCTGGATTTTGTTTACACGAGTCTTCCATTTAAACCCAGTTCTAGGTTTCTACACGAACAGACCATACATGAGACAGTAACAGTCACAAATCAGGGTTCCAGGAGAAGATACTTAGCTGGGAATTCATAACCCGAGGCAGCAAAACCCATACTTCAGTCAAAAAAAATTATCTAAGGTTGAAACTAAAGGGCAATGAAACAAAGCAGCTTTACAGAAAACAAAGAAGTGGACAGTGGGCACTGGCAGATTCTTCAGCACCTGTAACACAGATGAAATGTAGCATTGGTATTTTAAAACAAGAGCAGCCAGTTGTTTTGATGGTGCACCGGCAGTGCTGAAGTTCCCAAGCCACCAGACTGGCATGCTCTGTCCTCAGCTGTTTGCTCATGGGCCACAGGAGGCAGAGCGCAACAGCAGCCTGATCCCATTTTACGGAACTTGTTGGATGTTACACTTTGATGCACGCATGCGCCTTCTGGGCATGGGAATTAAAGAATTGAATTCTGCAGTGCTGGTATTTGCTGTTTAAGGAAGTCTTGGGAAACAAGAACAAGTCCCAGCTGTGAGCGCAGGTGACAATGACTTTCCTGCATGGTAAGCCGCTGTAATGACCCAGCACTGGAAGGAGAGAGCTGTCCACTACCTCCCCTCCCCATGTCCTGCTACACCCACCCCTTGGTCCACCCTCTCCCCTGGGACCTGTCTCACTTCACAATGATCCTGCACAGGAACTGGGACAAACCTTTCACCTACAAAAATCCAATTTCTGCCATTTCCCTTTTGCTGGAGATAACACACATCTGACTCCCATGACTCACTCAGGCCAGGCAGGAGCACAAAGCCCTGCAGTTACCAAGTGATCTAGAGCAGCACCTAGAACCATCCACCTTCTTGAACTCCCATTTTAATAACACTCTCAAGGAAGAGGTTGGGTTGCCACTTGTCTGTTTTAAAAGTTATTTTTTTACTGCTAGAGATGTTTAAATCTACAGTAATTATAATCTTAAAAAAAATTAAATCACTTTATACTAATGTTAGCAGAACAAACATAGCGAGACCTAAAGTTTACTAGTTCTTTTCACCAACCTGCTAATGGGCTGGTACAGTAGGATCACTTCCAATTTGCGTTACAAAACAAGAAACTCTAAAGCACTTAAGAATATAATTTCTCATATTCTCCACTTGAGAGGTTTTTCCTCTAGTTCAGAAAAGTTAATGAAAAAATATATCTTTAATTATGAAAAAGATGCAGTTAAAGTGGCCCATTGTTTCAGTAGAGACACAGAACTGCCTTTTACAGTTAATCCAGCAGAGATGATCTGCTGAAACCTGTGTGCACCACTGACTATGAATCTCCAACATCATCTTGTATTTTTTTTGTGCTTATGCGGAGGTGAAATTAGAAGACCTCTTCTACAGAGACAGGCAGAGAGAGCTGGGCTCATTCAGGCTGGAGAAGACTCCAGGGAGGCCTTTTAACAAACTTCCAGTACCTAAAGGGGCCAACAAGAAAGCTGGAGAGGGAATTTTTACAGGGGCATGCAGGGACAGGACAAGGGGGAATGGCTTTAACCTGACAGAGGGGAGATTCAGATTAGGTATTAGGGAAAAAAAAGAAAAATCTTCACTATGAGGGTGATGAGGCACTGGCACAGGTTGGCCAGAGCAGCTGTGGCTGCCCCATCCCTGGCAGTGTTGAAGGCCAGGTTGGACAGGGCTTGGAGCAACCTGCTCCAGTGGAAGGGGTCTGTGCCTGTGGCAGGGGGGCTGGAATTAGATGATCTCTAATGTCCTTTCCAACCCAAATCATTCTATAACTTTCCATCTGGGGAGTAAAACCAATGTGATTTTATTTATCTTGACTGATGTACAGCTCAGGGCTTGGTGCTCTGAGAAGAGGGAGAGGACGCAGAGGAACAAGGCTCAGTGCCCAGGGAAGCATTTGGTCACTCTCTGCTTCTAGACACCTTCTTGCTCCTTGTGTCATGCAGACACTTTGTACACACATCCTCTCCAGCCAGTGAAAAGTCACTATCGATTTACTTTTCCCCAAAAAAATACAGTAACAAAAGATCCATAAGCCCTCCTGGAGCTTGGAGCACTGAGCTTAAGATACAACACTACAAATATTGACAAGGCAAGAAACACAGAATAGGAAAAAAAAAAAAAAAAAAAATCAGGTACCTTTCAAAGGGATTTTTAATAGTTTTCTTCTTTAATAATGATGTGCTATATGCATGGAACAGTGTCCAAGTGCCCTCTCTCCAGGCATACAGTGTGCTTGCTGTATATCACTAAGGCACTCGGGAAGGAAGTAACTTTTGATAAATGCAACGGGAATGTTTCCACCACACAGCATCAGTAATAAATTTCTGAAGCAGCTCTACCACAGGGTTTATCTCATCTGATTTATGTGACACCAAGTCATACACCAACCACTGGGAGTGTTTCAGGTTTGTCGTCACCAAATCACTTTCAAAGGCACTGATCACCTTTCCTTTCCACTATCTGGGAAGGGTCCCATTTTTTCCCACTGATTTTGAAACTGAATATTTGAATTTTAGTCACATAGAGGAACCAACTCCATGGATTCATTCCCTCATAGTAACAGCTGCCTTCCAAGGCTTTTTTGTGTGCTACCTGCTACGCTATCCAGTCTATACCTCTATGAACTCATCCAGTCTATACCTCTATGAACTCAAGGCTTAGAGTATTGTGCGTTATTCAAGTCCTATCTTACAGCATTTTTTTTTCCAAGAAAGTACCTGAATGTAAATCAAAATGCTTTGAAACAGCAGAAATAAATTAAACAAATGTAATTTGTTTATAAAAATATTTTCTTACAAATCTTTAAAGCTTATAAAAGCCAGAAAATACATTTAAAAGAATCTCTGAAAGATTTCATCCTTTGAGGTGTGGTTACAGTTCAGAAAGGGGGAAGAAACAAAGCCCACAGGCATTTCACTTTTATCTTCCTGCAAGGAATTCTGTAGTACAACACGCTTAATTTACACGTCAAACTGCCCTTGATGTCCTTCCCCGGGTCAACGCCCTGTGTCAGATCATTGCTGTTTGAAAATGAAGTCATAACTTAATTGACAACGCTGCTGTTCACACAGACATGGCACAATTAGCTTTTCCATAGGTACTCTATGGAAATTCAGGTGTTAGACCAGCAGCTACGACTGAAGCTAGAGCTCAGGGATATGGATGTAGGATGCAAGTGTCATTTTTTTAACAGTTACTTTCTGAACTTATATTTTCATATTAGGAGGACAAGCGGTATCACATACAACCATACCACCGCCTCAGCCACCCCTTTTGTCAGTGATGGGGCATTAAAAAATACCTATATTCCTGTTTATTGATTATGGGATATGTCTTTGTAATAAAACTAAAAAGACCTTGCTAGTCCATCCAATATTTAAACTGCATCAATTGCTCCTCTTGCACTTCCATGCAGACTGTCCTTCATCCTGCAGCTTTTTGAATTTTGGGCCCAATAGAAACCACCAGCCAAATCCCAGAATGACACAGATGATGGATTCCACATAGTAACCATCCAAGGCAGTAACACAGGAACCACCGGCTTTTGTGCAGAGCTAAAACAGAGAAGCAGAAGTTGATGCAGTAAGTATTCTCTGGGTCATACAGAAACACAGACTTTCAGAAAACAGGCATCAGATATCCACTGCTTTTTACTTGAGTTTATTTACTCTTCTTTCATTTGTATGGAGTTATGAGAGAGGCTTTTGATCTTATCACTATGAAAATAAGAAACTGTTAAAAAACATTTGGGAAATGGAGCATATTGGCCCAAGGGGTGAACTCTAGAAAACAGAAGCTGCCCAGCTGCCTCATGTTGACCTGAAGGTGGGAACACTGTTCTTAATCACACAAAAAGAAAGGTTTGTTGTTTGGTTTTTTTTTTCTTCCATAGCCATCCAAATGGCTTCTTTAGAAACTATATCCTTGCATCTCACCGCAATAGTGGTACAAAATGCTGCTTATGTCTGGAAAAAAACATGCCCAGGATGGTTTATAATGCAAATCTGGAAGTCAAATACTCCAGCACTTAAAGGGTAAATATGTAGCACACGATTGTTTCTGCTATTGTTCAGCTTCCAGTACTACCATAACCCCAAGATAAATCAATTCTCCAAGCTGAGAGTCTGCCAGCACTTTGATTGCTCTTGGACACATCAAGATCAGATTAGCAATAAAAGGGGAGTGGTGGCAGTGGTGGAACATTACCAATTGAGAAGCTGTGAAAAAAGATCAGGAGTGAGGTGAAGGATGATGGACTTAAATTCAGCACAGGTCGAGGGAACCTAATAGGTGGTAAGCTA